CTTCAGCTCCTGGCATCTCCTCTCTCTCAGGGAGCTCAGCTGGTCCTTTGAGAACTCGGGATCAAGGGCGTTTCTGCAGTAGCAGGAAGACACCACAGTGGGGGCGCACTCAGCCTGCTCTGGATTTATGAACGGTTAGTTCAACCTTCCAAACAGCTAAGGCCCTTTTCCCGTGCACTTCCTCTGGCCAAGCTCTGCGTGTCCCGTTTCCCTGCCCCGTTACAGCCAGGCTTCCCCAGGGCCTCCCCTCCATCACCCTCGCCTTCGCCTCATTCCTACCCAGCGCTGGTGGGAGACCCCTTCGCACAGCCAGCTCCGCTATCCCCAGGCTATGAGGCTTGTTCTGCTTCTCCAGGCAGGCGGTCCAGGGACCAGCAAGGGGACTGAGGGGAGCTGAGCTCCAGTGGGACTGACAGCAGAGTCCTGGAGGGAGGCTGCCAGGGTCCATCAACAACAAGGAGGGAAGGACAGTCCCAGCAGAAAAGCAGCTCATAACTTGTCAGTCTGGCTACTACAAGCAGATCTTACTCGCATGTAAAAATCTCTTGTCAAAAACCCAAAAGGTCCACGTCATAAGATTCTGTATTTTTAGTTTCATGTAACATCTCCTTACACAATTTAAGATACAAGGACCAGGTACAGTGGGTCACGCCTGCAATCCTGGCACATTGGGAGGCCGAGGTGGGAGGATCACTTCATTTGAGGCTGGGAGTTGGAGACCAGCCTGAGCAACATAGCAAGACCTTGTGTCTACAAAAAATTTTTTTAAAAACCCACAAAACTATTTAAGATACATGATTTTTGCCATTTCATTTATACCCATTTATATATTTACTTCAGATACTCGGGAGAAACTTGTTGTTTTAATTAACAGATGCTTTACTTTGACTTAGCTATCAAAGAACTGATCACAAAAGATTTCACGTAAACTAGTCATTTATTAGCATTGCTAGGTTGACATAACAGGTTTCCAGTAATATGCCGAGTTGCACGGCGGTGACAGAACAAGGCGCGGTCCATACGCGTGGACAGCAGGGTCTCACTTCTTCCACTCGTTCTTGTCGTAGTCCCACTTGGCAGAGAAGCCCTGGATGGGGCTGACCTTCATGTCCAGCATCCTCTTGGTCTGCTTGGCCACCCAGTCTTCCTCGAAGGTGTGCGGGATGGGGCCATACACTACAGTTAAGACAAGTTCACGAGGCAGGACTGTCACTACAGGTTGTTTCTACGCCAACACCTTACGTGGGCCAGGTCCTCCCCAATGCACTGGCCACTCACTCAGCAAAGCCACCTGCCACTCCACACCTGCTCAAACACGCAGGATTTTACCTCTGAGCACTGACAGCTCTTGATGCTTTTAAATTATTCCTCTGTTTGTAAAAAGTCAGCAATGAAACAGTTAAGGTAAAAGCTGAATGTCTTCCCTCCAGACAGTAGATTATGAGAGTCTATAGGTCACAGCACAGAGCCAAGGTGCTTGTGAGACCAGAGAGAGAAGTCGGGTCTGTTATTAACCACGTCCACATTCACACCAAGAGGACGGGACGTACCTACGCAGAATGCGAAAATACCTGTTCTGCCTGGACAGAAAGAACCCAGGAGAGCACCTTAGAAGGAACGGGCAACCCCAGCAGCGTCTAAACAGAAACTGAGGTCCGAAGCCTCAGCATTCTGGCTGAGGTGCGATCCCCAGAACGGCTGAGACGGTCGTTCAACGGGTCCCCTTCTCCTGCTCGGACCCTCCCTGAGTCGTCTTGCGCTAACTGAGTGGTGAGCAGATACGCTGCTACTCAAAGTGTGGGGTGCTGTGCGAAGGAGGGAAGCATTTCACCACCAAACAAGTCTGGAAACTGAATAAATCAGATTCTGGCTTGTAAGTTAATCTCCCACGACTTCGGTTAACACAAGCCAGTTCCCCAAGACCTGGAAAACGACCCTGAGCCGGGCCCCAGGGGAGGTCCCTATCTCAGGGCTCCGAGGCAGCGTGAAGTCCGCACCACTGGGCACGGAACGCTGGAGCTGTGCCGGCCACACCCGCCTCCCCTGAGCCCGCTGCAGGCACCCGAGCCCTTCCTCCCTGCCCGCTCACCGTAGCGCTTCTCCCAGATGACGATGAGCGCCGTGAAGCCGATGAAGAACATGGCAGTGCCCACAACCGTCTTCCACTGGTTTGTGCCCCTGTTCATCTCAGCGAAGCTCTCATTGAACTTAATGCGATACACTGGGGACAGCAAGAGCAGCCATCAGCAGGCACGATGAGCAAAGCAGCCCCACAGCTCCCTCTTCCCCAGCGTTCAACCGCTTCCCCCGAAACACAGGGAGGGAGAAAACAGGGAGCTGCGGGACGCAGCATCAGCCTACACCATGCGTGCTTCACATGTATGCACACACGTGCCCCGACACACAAGCTCGTGATGGGGAAGGAGGAAAAAAACACACGGAGTTTGCATTGGGTAAAAAAAGCCCCAAATTAATAAGTAAACCACGTCCGACCCGGCAGATGTGCTGAGAGGCTCCGTGCACATGCTCCACTCCCCGCTGGGGGCCTGGGCTGCGCAGCCAGCCAGCTGGCAGAGAACAGACACTGGAGCCCTGGGACAGTCACTCAGAAACCTAGCAGAGCGACCCTGCTGTGCACAGCTGTTCTCCAGACAGCCACCCGGAGACAAGCAGAGGCACGCCTGCACGCACACCCACAAAGTTCCCAGAGATGCGGGGTTTGCCTGCGCCTCCCTTCAATACCCACACTCGACTTTCTCCTCCAGGGAGAGGTTGCTCCAGGAGGCCTTCTCCTTCTCTTTCAAGGCCTTCTGGCTGGCAGACAGGTGCTTGACATGGGCCACATCAGGCAGGGGGTAGTCACGCCGATCAACATAACTTGGGAGAGCAAAGTCGTCACTCTTCACAACACTTCCTAGAAACACGTTGGGGAAATAGTTGAAAATCCACATGGGTTGAGAGTCACAAACGAGGTGGTACGTCTGAAAACCAAAACGAGCACGTCTGCACACCCCGAACCCTCAGTGCCTAACAGCGTCTGGTACAAAGAAGATGTGACATAAATGCAAAGCTAAACATGCTATGTACCAGGCGCAGAACTGGGCTCTTTAAATATATCTCAGGTGAGGAAACAGACTCCTAAACTTAGGTAGCCAGTGCTTGATAGAAACGAGATTTAAACTCAGCCTAGGCTACGAAGTCCACGCTCTTTCACTCCCATTGGCTCGATAACGTCTTAATATATGCAAGTGAAGTTAAATGGTGGGGAATTTTGGGCGGGGGGAGATCATTAAGATCAGGTACGGGGAAGAGGATTTCTTGAAAGGGGTGGAATTGAACTTGAGCCAGAAAAAAATGGGAAGGAAGGGAAGGAAAAGAAGGGAAAATACTAGTGTAAATAAAGACCCAGACCCATATTCAATTTGATTCATAAACACTCCTTGATATAGAACCAAGCCGTGTTGAAATATTTGTATCTCCCCTGAGGTCCCTCAACAACAGGATCAAGAGCTTAGTTATCTTTATCTGAAACTCCAGTACAGAGCCTTACACACATGAGAAGCAAAATGACAACAGCTCAGCCTATTTAAAAGCAAGAAAAGTCACACTTACCGTGTGCGTGTGCTCGCACACACGCTGAGGTGGAAAGCGCTCGCTTGCCAACCAGGCTAAATACCCTGGTAGCCAACATTCTGAAAGATAAGAAGGTACACCTTCTTTATGAATGAGGGTGAGGACCTATTAGGAATGAGTCTTCTTTTTGCCCCAGAGCATTTTGTAAGTAAATGCAATTCTTTTGTTTGTTTCTGCTCAACACAAATGATCCATTCTTTATTACTGACTCTGAATTCACAAAATAGCCTAGGATGAGGTTTTCCTTGGTAGTCAGCATGTTTTTATGAAGCTTCATTATAAACTAAGTGCCATAATAGATACACACTTCGGGCAATTAATAGAAAATTGGCTTTCTCAAACAAGGGCAAAAAAAACTGAATAAGCCAACTCAAAACACTAAAAATCATTAAGGCACTGTGCTGCCACGATAGGCCCCATTCTCGGTGGGTAGGGAAGGTGACATCTCACAGGGACGGTCGCGTGCATGACATTCCACTGCGTGCTTGTTTACAACCTAATACTGCATGTACAGGCTGGAAGAGGACGCAAACACGGCCCGAGTCCACCTCCCATCCCTGCAGACAAACCTAGTCCACCGACTCTTCTCTCCTGGGCCTCTGCGATTCACGCCCCCTTTTAAATCGACCCTTCGGAGGGGCTGTAAACAATGAAAAGGACGCCGAACATTTTGGGAAAATACCCCCCGCTTAGAGCAGGTAAACAAGCATGACGTCAGGGCTGACACTCGCGTGTCGCTTCTTTCCTCGGGCCAGGCCCGTGCGTGCGCGGACGACCGGCGCCTTCCAGGCCGGGAAGCCGAGCATCCCTCCCAGCGCCCGTTAAACACCGGGCGGTCGCACAGGGGCCGTCTGAAGGCGCAGACCCGGGCCCGCTCCCCCGCGGCCGGCGCCCTCGGCCAGCGGGCGCTCCAAGGTCAGAGCCCGGGGCCAGCTCGCGGCCGCGGCGGGGCAGGGGAAGCCGGGCGGGGCGCCTCGGGGCGGCACAAAGGCCGCGGCCCAGCCGCCCCCGGAGCCCGGAGCCCCCGCGAACCAGCCTCAATGTCACCGGGCTAGAGGCCCATCCGCCGCCTCCTGCACATGCCGGGCGATGGCGCGCAGGCCCGATCGATGGCTCCCGGCCCCCCGACCCTCTCGGCCTCGCAGCTTGGCGCCGGCCGCCGCGCGCCTCACCTTCCGCCGCCGCCGCCGCACAGCCGGTGCCCGCTGCGACCGCCCTCTGCGCCCCGGTAGCCGCGACCGGAAGAGCGCGAGGCTGCTCCGCGGAGCACCACGGGATCGAGGAAGACTCCGCCCGGGCCGCGCCGAGGTCACCGTGGAGCGGAAGGAGCGGAACGCCGTGAGCGTCGCAAAACGCCGGGCTGGGCTGCTTTCCGGCAGGGGCTTCAGGGACCGCTTTCCGGCGGCGCCCGGCGAGAAGCGCGAGTGGATCCTGAGGTGGCGGCGGCTTCCCAGAGGAGCCGAGGCCCGAACGGGGGGCCGGGCCCGAGTCGGGGGCTGGGGCTGAGCGGGGGTCCCCGCCAACCGGCAGCCGCGCCAGGCAGTTGCCGCGTCCTCGTCCTGCTTCTCCGCTGGGGCGCCGCGCGGCCGGGCAGCGGGACCAGGCCGCAGCCGCTCGCCCAGGGGCCTCCGGGGCCCTCCCGGGCTCAGCATGCCCGGGGTGAAGCTGACCACCCAGGCCTACTGCAAGATGGTGCTGCACGGCGCCAAGTACCCGCACTGCGCCGTCAACGGACTGCTGGTGGCCGAGAAGCAGAAGCCGCGCAAGGAGCACCTGCCCCTGGGCGGCCCGGGCGCCCACCACACCCTCTTCGTGGACTGCATTCCCCTCTTCCACGGCACGCTGGCCCTCGCCCCCATGCTGGAGGTGGCTCTCACGCTGGTAAGCGCGCACCGGGCGCCTTCGCCACCCTGGCGGGCAGCCCCGGCCTCCCCTCGGAGTCGTCGGCACGAGAAAACCGATTTCGCGGCCGGCTTCCCGCAGGAATCCCGGATCCGCCCCCTGGGGTCACCGTGGCCAGGAATGGGACGGTCCACGAAGGCGCTTAGGTCCCGGCCTGGCTCTTGGCGCTCAAGAAATGGGCGCTCGTAGTAGTAGGAGTCGCAGCGACTTGCACCGTCGTGGATGCTTTTAGAGGCGCTGTAGTCGTACATTGCATTTTACGAGAAACTAGTAGCTTTTATAGAAACGGGCTATCCTTAATTGGGTAAGGATTCGACAGAATTTAAAGATTTTGAGTTGCGGGAAGTTGTCGTGTTGTTGGGACTTAAGCGCTAGAGTTTGGTTCTTCTGCACCTTCTCGGAGGCGATTCCTTATCTAGGGAGGGCGTGAGCGCTGTGGTCCTTCGGGCTTGGTACTGGGGAATTCCGGAGCTCAGACACTTAGGCAGCACTGATACCTGGGGCCTTTGCTCCCCGTGAGTGTCCATGAGCTTTGTGTGAGGAGCATTTCTTCCCCTTGGTGGTTAGCAACTTACTATCTAGAATGCGTCCATGGTTTTAAAAGCCAAAGAATTTTTGTGAAATTAAAAGGCAGGAGGAGATGATCTACTGAACACTCTATGTGTCTGCTTGCGATGACTACTTTATTGAAGTACAATGGGAAAAAGATTTAACATACAATGATGCTAGCTGGTAATTGAATTTTAGGCAGTAGCTTTTCTGTTGTAGTGATCAATAAAGGGGAAAAAAAAGACCATCCATGAATTTCATTGAGTTGTTAAAACCAATGAGAAATAAACTGTAGCCTCAGACCTGCCCACCTGAGCTGAGGTGCTGTTTTTCTATTAAGGATAAACTGTCATGCTAAAAAATGTTAGCCATTTCATGCAAGAAATAGTTAAATTTGAGAAGGGATAGATAGAAATCATTTCTCTCTGCCTCTCACCAGAAAAATGAAGCCATTCCATGGAAGAAAAGAAGCCAGGCAAAAAGAAAAAGCAGCAGCAGCAGCCATTTCATAATTCACCTAATTATGACGCCCAAGTAAATTCTTGGCAAACAAGAAGTACCTTTGGGCATACGGTCCTGGCCATACATCCTTGAGTGCTTGTTAAAGTAAACTGAGTCACTGTGTGGATTTTTTCATATCATATCTGTACAGGAGACAGATATAATAAGTAGACGGTATTTATAAAGTCAACCATTTTACTGCTGTCAGTACTGAAACACCACCGGAGAGGGCGTGTGTGTGTTTTAATCCAGGTCTTTCTAATCACTCGTCTTAATTGTTCGGTTATCGAGGGAATTGCAGGGTGAGTGGATATGGGAAAGGCATCGGCTTGCAGGGAACTGGATTCACGGGCGCTCATGCTGGGCGATCCAGTTCTGCAGTCAGTGTCTGCTGAGTGTCCGCCTTGTGCCAGGCCTGTGCCGGCGAGGGCTGTGGGTCAGACACAGTACCTGGTCTCTGCTTAGCGCTTGAACTTGCAGCAAGCCAGCAAGTACGATGCCAACGGGTAAGTGCTACAGGTAGAGATAAGTAAAAAGTGGTGAGGAGTTGAGAGAAAAGTCGGCTAACCCAGGCTCACGGAGCCCGGGCTGTCAGGCGGCCCAGAGAGAGGGATATGCAAGTCGTGGGCCAGCCCTAGTAATCCAGGAGGGAGGGCATTTGAGGTGAGAGAGACCAGCATGTACAAAGACTCAGTTTACTTTAACAACAGTGGGGAGGAGAAGGGAGAGTGTTTGGGGAGAGCTAGAGGGTGGAGTGCAAAGAGACAGGGGACAGAGGAGTGAGCAGTGGACAGATTGCTTTGTAGGGGACCTCGTAGATCACGCAGAGGCGTTTGAGCATCATCCTGAAGACAGAGGGAAGCCACAAGAGGAGAGTTGCATGATCAGATTTGTGTCTTTAAGTGATGGCTCCAGCCTCCCATGAGGAGGATGTCGGAGACTCGAATACATGCAAGACTAGAGGCAGGGAGGTGGCTGCACCGAGTGCAGTGTGTATGCGGAGAAGGGACAGATAAGAGAGAGCAGGAGGGAGAGCCCACAGGACTCGGTGACTAACCGTGCGCAGACTGAGGGAAAAGGAAGTGAGGGTGACTCCTGGGTTCTGGCTTATGCGTTGGGAGGATGGTGCGGCGGTGCCATGCATCGTGGGAACAGAGGCAGAGAAGCAGATTTGGAGGAGAAGTGATTGGTTCCGTTTGGGACATGTTGCATTTGAGATGTTGGAATGAAGAAGTCCTAGTGTTGAAAGTTGAAAAATGGGTATGGAGCTCAGAAGACAGGCTGGAGACGAATGTTGACAGCCAATAGCTTCTCGGTGACTTTGAAGCTGTGAGAACAGCTCATACTCTCTGGGGACACTGCGTGGAGTGAGAAGCCTGAGGAACTCTGGCTTTTACAGGGGGATGGAGGAGCCGAGTTGCAGCCAGCAGGCTAGGAGGAAAGGTGTGCTACGTTAGTATCCGTCTAAAACCCCGTCAGAACACCGGGGAGCTGCTTAAAGACAAACTTGAACCTCACTTGGAATGTCTAATATCACTTCTCACAGGTAGCCTGTACAGAGTTAAAGGGTTATGTTCCTCTCATGGTATATAATCACAATACTTGAGAGAATTAAACATACCAACTATAAACAACTGCATTCGAGTCACGGATACACGAATTTTCCCCAAGGAGCAGAGCTGCCTCCCAAACCACTTACCTGGGAAGGGAAGATGCCCAGAGAGAACCTTGACTCTAAGAGCCGAGGTTGCCCCACGGCCTCCAGCCTGAGACTGAGAGGGCCCTGTGCGGCCCTCCCCCCTTCAGGTCTTGCTCCCCCTGCGGGGTTACACCCTGCACTCCAGACTCCCAACTCCAGCACCTCCCCAAGACGTGCTCTTCAGTGTGCCAGGAGTCTTGGTGTCTCGCGTCAGCATGTTAGGTCCAAACCAGACTCCCTGCGGTGCCTTCTCAACAGGGAAAACAGTGCAACTTTTGTCCTTGCCAAGCGGTGGTGTTTTGTACTGACTTTGCTTATATTTACCTAAACTTTGGATCATAGCTCAGCAGTTGAGAGATACGAAAAAGATGCCAATCCAGTGCAAATGAAACAACTTTCAGAGGAGAGTTGTGGAGGAAAAGTCCCAATTTGAGTCCATCTAAATGTTTTATATTACAATTAAGCTATTTAAATTTAGATTGCTCACCTTCTGACTTAGTGACTTGATAACCTGAAGGCAATGAAGCTCCCGGTGTTTGGAGCCATAGCTAATAAACAGGGCAGTCAGCCATGGAAGATGCAGTTTTAACAGCATCTACGGCCACGCGACTGTAAACGAGGCCTTGTTCTCACGGCTCTCTTCTATCCAGGGAGTTTCACGTTGGCATTATTTTTGGTAAGTGGGAAAGACCAACTCGATATGCAGTCTGTCAGAGGGCAACATTAGATTCCTTTGAAAGGCTTTTTCATTATAATTTTCCATTTTAAAAAAAATCCTTGCATTTCTGGGTGCTTTTATTTTTTTAAGTACTTATGTCTGTTATTTATCCTTATAACCCTTTGACGTAGGTAGCAAAGGAATTATTTCTAATAGCAAAAACCCATAAAATGTTAGTAGGACAATTAGCATAAACCTGCTGTTTCTCTAAGCCCTTTTTGGCCTTTTCCCCTCTTGTTGATTTCCTAGCACTGTGGAGCAGCTTTCTGTGACATTCTGCTCAGATGACTTTCTTACCTGCTGAGTGGCCTCATCACCATGATTTCGGGCCAGAAGCTCCACCTGCGCTGTGCTCGGTTGCATGGCTGCCGTCCTGTAACTCCCCCTCCCCCATGCCCTTCCTTCATCTCCAGAACTTTCTGGTGCTAGCCTGGGAGAGGGAGAAGGCTGCTGTGGGTCCTCCTTTCGCTTCTTTGCCATGAACTTCATCTTCCGTTTCCATCCCATCGACTTCCAAAGCTCTTCTCGTGGATCTAGCTCCTTTCCATTTGATAGAAAAATCAGCAGCTGACTTGAGAGGAGCTTTCCTTCCTTCCCAGTGAAAATAACTGTCCCTCAACTTCTGAACTCCAGGGTCGCCTTCTTGCTACAAAAAGGAAGGCCTGGCAGGTTACCGTCAACCTGTTGGTAGGTGGCAAATTTGGGAGAGATGCCCTCCTCGGAGTGGCTCTCTTACTAGCTCCCGCCTTGCCTACTTTACGGTTATTGTACAGCCACACGAGAGAGGTGATAGTGCTTGGAACACTATAAAGTGCCTCACACGTGCAAAACCTCGCTAAGGTTGCTGAGAGATGCTCCTTCCTTTGTGCAGTCTAGCTGGGAATGAACGGGGTGGCCCCAGCCCCTCTGAAAGTTCTCCTACATGTCTGGCACAGAATGAGCCAAAAAGTGCACTGAACAGAGGGTGGCGGGCTTACGCCAAGGTGAAGGTGTCCTCTTTTTCCTCCAGAAAGTAAAAAAAACTGCACAGAGTTGTCTGTATTCAGAGCTAGCTTTAGTAAATTGGCAACAGGCTTCACAGCGTTTTGTCTCAACTTTTATTTTCATTTTGATTTTTCACACGATGCGTGATAGGGATATGGCATTCTAGTAGAAGTTCCATGTCATGACATTTTTCTGCTGGAATTCGGTTGAGCCCTTGGAGTTTTTCATACAGGAATTTGTCCCTTAGCAGGCAAAATGTAGGTTGAGGCGTACATTGTGTGTGTTTGTCGCAGGAACCATCCTTCGTGTCGGGTGCTTTCTGTGCTCTAGGGCAGGAGCAAGGTGACGCCGTGTGTGTTTGCTGGGGTACAAGTCCCAGACGGTTAGCTGCAGCCCAGGAGAGGGACATGGGAGCCAGCCTAGACTAGCCTGCTCGCAAAAGAATGCTGCGGGGGGCATCAGGACATTGTCTGTAGCAAATAAATATAAAATTTGTCCTATCCTTTTTTTTTTTTTTCTCTTTTTTTGAGACAGGGTCTTGCTCTGTCACCCAGACTGGAGTGCAGTGACATCATCATAGCTCACTGGAACTTTAAATCCCTGGGCTCAAGCGATCTTCCTGCCTCAGCACAGGCCTGTGCCACCACGCCTGGCTAATTTTTCTATTTTTGGTAGAGACAGGGTCTCACTCTTGCTCTGGCTGTTCTCGAACTCCTGGCCTCAAGCAATCCTCCTGCGTCTGCCTCTCAAAGTGTTGGGATTACAGGCGTGAGCCATTGTACCCAGCCCTTGTCCTGTCCTTAGAGTAAATGTAGTATAGCTGCGGTCAGCCGAATCGTAACCCCCAAAATATGTCTCCATCCTAATCCCCAGGCCTTACGTGGCAAAAGGAGTTTTGTGGGTGTGATTAAGTTGAGGGTCTTGGAGTGGAGAGGTCATCCTGGGTTGCTGGGTGGGCCCCACATGAGAAGGAAGGAGAGTCGGGGAAGGAAACGGATGGTGGAAGCAGAGGTTGGAGTGATCCAGCCACGAGCCAAGGAATTGGGGCAGCCTCTAGATGCTGGGAAAGGCCAGGAAAGGGTTCTCCCCTGGGCCTTCCAGCGGACTGTGGCCCTACTGGCCCATTTTAGACAGAAATTCTAACCTGTAAGATAAAAAACTGTGGCATTTGAGGCAACTAAACTTGGTGACTTGTTAAAAGGGCAGTAGGAGACTAAGACAGCAGAAAATCCGACTCTGGAAATAGGGACAGCCTGCCCTGGAGAGTAGGGACACCTGGGTGCGCAGAGACAAGCGTCACCTCAAGGGAGGACACACTCGAGCCGGCCTGTGATTGGAAACAGAGGCTGGGAATGTGGCTCTAAGGGGTCAGCTAATTGGGGAGCAGGGCCAGATCCCAAATTTTGAGCTAGGCCTTTTGATGCTGCATAGAGATAGTTTTGTTCTAAGCAGCTATGCAAAGTTTCCAGAACCCATTCCATTAAGAGACGATAGAAACAAAATATAAGTAATTTGGGAGTGATTTGCAGCTCCAAAATCACAGTGATAAAGCCATGATAAATATTTGGGGGACATAACTTAATCTTCTGGGTAGATGACCAGAATATCCAGTTGGTTCAGTGAGCCCTGCTGGTTTTGACCCAATATGGTAATTCGTGAGCTCTTAGGAGGCCAGAAATATTCTCTGTGTAAGCAAGGGACCCTTGGACTGTACTATCTTGTAATGTCTGCTTTTAGTCACGAAGGAAACTGTTGTAGGCCCAAACCAGAATTAGGGGAAGAAGAGCAATAGGGTTGTATTCAAAAAAAAGAATTTTTTTTTTGACCAAGTTAATTCACTGCAAAAAAGCGAGGTATCAATTTTGTTTCCTCTTCTGCAGTCTGAGAATAGAATTTATTGCGGTGTATTAAAATTCCATTATGGCAAAACAGGATGACCTTTTGTTGTTGTTAATAACGGCATTAGGCCCGCAGGAAGCTAAATCTGATGAGAGAAAAGTGGTATTATAAAACAGAACAAAAAACTTTTAAGTTCCACCACCACGCTCCCATTTAAAAGCACCCTGTAGGGAGCTAAGTGTGTCTGCACGGGTGCCCCTGCCACCCGCATGCCTGCTTTGCAAACTCAGGGCCTTTCTGAGCTCAGTTTCCTTAACTGTGCAAGATTGATTCGATAATCTCGGTGCTTTCTCAAGCCCCAGAATGCCCCAGTTCTTTATATCGTAAGAGGAGGTGGGTGAAGATTTTCTCCCCTCCCCCCCATAGCACTGTTCCCATTTAATACCTGTAGTGGGGGCCTCCTGCTGGGAGTGGGGAAGGAGGTCACATCTCCAGGTCCAGGTCCCACCCCTCCTGACCATTACAGGGTCCCGTCTTGTAGGAGGACGCCCCATCTCTGGGAGAGTGAGGGGCTGGGCCCTCAGTGTGATTTGGTTTTTTACCTCTGAGTCGTAGCCTATCTTCTGGGGAGAAGGATACACGATTGTGTCATGTTTTGTCCCAGCATGGGGGGGGAGGGTCTCCTGTGGTTTTTGAGACTTGATATTTAAGGGAAAATCATTCATCTTTTCTTCCCGATTTTTGTTCCTCTTTCAGATTGATTCATGGTGCAAAGATAATAGCTATGTGATTGCTGGTTATTATCAAGCTAATGAACGAGTAAAGGACGCCAGGTATGTCGCTGCAGAAACCCTCTGTGGGCTGGAAGAATGATCACAGCACAGAGCCAGTCTCTGAGGAGCTGTCTGTCCCTCTGTAGGCTCCAGATGCAGAATCCGTGAGCCCCACGCCCCTCCCTGCCCTGTGCTTTGTTTATAGTATTGGAGGGGAACTGTGGTGTGGATAATTCCGAACAACAGACATTCCAAACATTTATATTAACTTTGGGATTCTGTTTTGTATCTTCCCTATTTTGCTTGAAGGGAATTCATACAAGGCAAGTGACAGTCGGGGGCCTCGGTTTCTGTCCTTGCTCAAGTCTGCCTTGCTTCCTGTTACCTGACTAGGAATGAGGTTGGGCAGAGCCTCAGGAAGGAATACTGTTCTCGTTTGGGGTCAATAAAATGTCTTTTAGGTTTGGGGCTCTTAGGGCCTGATACTATGATGAAAATGTGGTATTTGCTGCTTCCTTTCTGTTAGCTCCTAGTTCCTTTTATCCAGATATTTCTCCCATTGTGGTCCTCAGTAAGGAGCAGAGCTGAGGATTTTGCTCTGTCTCTGCGTCGCTCTTGGTCCCAACAGAAGGACATACGAAGCACTCAGGATAATTTGAGGCGGGCTTAATACGTGGGCTGTTCCCACAGGTGTGGGCAGTAGCCAAGAGAACTCACAAGAGGGTCCTGTGGTGACCAAAGCCGGTGATGACAGCTGTTCCTGGCCTTCAGCCTGAAGAGCTGGGTAAAGAGGTTCGTGAGGAGGAGCAGAGCCCGTTGACCAAGGGACATAGCCAGCCTGACGTGACCTCACCTCAGGGGAGGGATGGCCCAGAGTGGTCAGCAGCTGACGTCTCTCTTGCACTCCCGTGACGTCTTCAAGGGCTTTCCTTGGCTGAAACCGGCCAGAAGCCAGAGGGGCAGCTGGAGAGTGTCCCCCACGGTATATGATGGGGGCATGTGCCAGGAGTGCCCTGACGTTGTCAGACAGAGCCGGCAGACTCCAGTGTCTGGGGAGTTAGAGGTGTAGTGGGGGACCCTGGAACAAGGTCCACCTGGTCGACGCCGACGAGAAGGTGGGCTTAAGAGCACTTTGGGAAACAGTGCAGTAAGCTGGGGACTGAGCACTGCTGTCACTGAGGAGGCACAGACACCTTCAGAAACGAGACCTCTTATCCTTGGAGGGTGGGTCCAGGCACAGGGCCCTGAGGGGGCCGATAGCCAATGAGGCATTGGACTCAAAGTCCCTCGGAGCACCTGCCGGGGACAGTTGAGGACACGTCGGAGCCCAGTGCACACTGGCTCTTCTGCTTCTCCCACTACCTCCCCGTTCCTCCTCTGAGCCCAGGAAGGGCGCTCGTCTCTCCTCCTTCAGAGCATCTCTTACTAACCTCACTCTTTCTGGGCCCTCCTCTGTGTGGTATCGTCTGCCTCACCTGTACTGATGACTCGGTGTCTGAGCAAGACCTACACACAGGCCACGTCCCTCTCAGTCTTGTTACGTGAAAGGGACTGAGTAGGCGTGGACTGCTGCATGGGCCATGCCCCCACGTGGCTAAGTTGACTGTGGAAGAGAGGTGGGCCACCGCGGGGCTTACTGGGAAGGGAGCCAAAGTCCAGTCACCTTTAAGGGGCCTAGAAGTGGCATTTTGGCCTAGGTAACCGTGCTGAGATGTGGTTCGAGGTTCTCCATGACTTGCTGTCATGGGCGTATGCTTGGTCGTCCCCGGAGTGGCCACTGTGTGCATCCACAAGTTCACTAATGGTGGCAAGAAAAAAAGGGTTGCCCGTTACTTACATCATTGGACTTTAGTGGAAAGAGACAGGCGCGTCTCTGGAGTTAATCGTTACTATGTGTCAGAGCGTTTGGAGAGCTTTGAAGAGTATTTGGAGAGCGTTGATTAAGGAAGCATTTTCCTGATTGATGGAAAAAGAGCTCAGTAATGGTCATCTACCCCTGTATTGTGTAGCATGCAGTGTGTTACACAGTGCTTAATAAAAGTAAAATGAAAAAAATAAAAATAAAAGAACATGGAAGCGAGTGCAAGCGCACAGCTGCGGCGGAGGCAGCAGGCCTTGGCGGGAGGGCATGCTGCGGGCTGTGGCGGCGGGCCAGGAGGACTTAGCCCTGTGGCGTAACGCAGGAAGCGCCCGGGCACAGTGTCCTTTGACCTGAGCCTCTGAGAGTAGGCAGGGTCCTGTCGAGGGCAGGTGTGGAGACCAGGTCAGCGCGTTCCTGGTTGGGGCAGCAGAAGGAAAACACAAGTGGGAACGTGGCGGGAACAGGGTGTGCACCCACGTGGAGGGAGGTGCTAGGAAGTGACGCTGCCAGGTTGGGCAGGCCACCCCTGAGGGCGCCTCGGCGCGTGGAAGCATTTTGGACTTCGTCTTGTGAGCACATGGGAGTGTCCTCAGCAGGAGGGTGCTCCTGGACTGAGCAGTGTCTCCCACGGCTCCCCTTGCAGAGGGAGAGGAGCCTGGGCGAGAGGGAGTAGCACCGGATTGTCACGTTAGCGTAGGCACCTCCCCTTCCTCAACTCCCCCACCCCCAAATCCGCGCCTTACGCGGTCACCCAAGCGGACCAAGCACACAGCCTCTCTCGTCCTCTTCTCTGCGTGTGCCTCCTTGGGCTCGCTCTCGCCATCTTCCTGCCTCTGTGCTGACCTCGTGCCCGCCCAGCCGGGGTTACCTTGTGCAGACGCACCGTGTCCGTGCTCTTCGTACCTTCGTCCGCAACGTCCCTGTTCCTCGCCGAGTCCACATTCCTTCAGCCGCTCACTGGGCAGGTTCTGCGCGCTCCCGTGATGTCGGTCTTGCAGTGCGTTCTGAGCGGCCGTTTGTTAGATCTGCAGAGGGGATTAAAACGTTAGCGAAGGGTCTGCATCCCTGAATGTGGTGTCTACCCCGGTGCGCTCCGGCTTGAGCTCCACCGGGGCCATCCCGCTCGTTGTCACAGCCACACACACTCCAGCCAGACAAGGCAAATGCACAGACGCCACACGGTTTGGGAGCTCAGGAGCTAGGGTCCTGCTGACTTCTTTCTTAAATACTTTTGCTTCTACCAGGAAAACATTCCCTTTTCTCTTCAACCAAACCTAGCTTAAAGTCTGCTCTTTTTGTTCTAGAAATATCTGTGACCTGATTAACAATGTCTCACAGCATAAGAGTTGGAGCTAGGTAGATGTGGATTTAAATCCTGGGTAACTTACTGATGAACTTGCGTGGGCCTCAGTGGTTCTGTCTGTGAAACGGAGCCAAGAGCCCCTGCCTTGGAGAGCAGTCCTGGGGACAGAAGGAAACAGTGTGCTGCGTGTTGAGCCATGCGCTTGGTTGGGAGTCGGGGCTGTGATTACTCTTTTCAAAAGAGGATTATTCAATCAGTGTTTTAACGTGCTTATAACTTTTATGTATTTCCTAAACTTTAGGTCCTTACATCACGTTTTATTGTATTCTTTCATGATTGCTGGTGTTTTGCTGCGTGACCACCACTTCATATGGGCGTATCTCAGTACCCAGCAGAGTGCCTTGGCCTGAGGTAGATGCTCAGTGAAAAGCTTTTAGATACGAAATGTAAGATACCGACTACACCTGCATGCCGGCTCTGTGCTGGCTGGGAAAGGGGTCAGGAAGGTGGTCTCTGGCCTCAGGAGCCTGCAGTTTGACTGGGCAGCTGACTGTGACTCGTCTCAGGAACCAGGAGTTGACACAGACTAGCAGGAAACACAGTGCTGATCTGGATGTCACAATGTGAAGGTCGGACATTCGGGAATGGGGCGGATCGGTGTTTAAGACTATGCGCATAATACAAAAAAAAGTTGGCAACTCTTTCAAATACTTTGACAGTTCATTAACTACGAAGCTTTAACTTCTTTCAAAAGAATAAATTTGAAATTTGAGTTCTTGGACATCTCAAATGGTAGTTTTTGTTTTTAATGAGTGTTTCTAGGTACACTCATTAAGGGGTACACTTACCCTTCCCAGCACAGTCACCAGCTAGTGTGATTATTGTTAGAAATGATAGCTTTGTGAATTCCTTCAGGGCAAGAGGCTCTGCCCTTTCTTTACTGCAAGTCCCTGGAAGATCATGCACTCAGCAGATGCCGCCTCTGTTCCCTCTGCGCTAAGGACTGGGAGAGTGGGGACCAGTGAAGACACAGTCCGCGAAGTGTGTGGTGACACCGTGCTGGCAGGCGGTGCAGACTGGGTGACTCTGCCTCCCCCAGGGCTCTGGTCCTGCTCCTCACGTCTGCTGTTGGAGCCGTGGGACTTGGCACTTGCCGACTCCTGGCCAGCACAGGGAAGTGCCACCTTCAGTTTGACCTAGGATCCTGCTGACTTTTTTCTTAAATACAATTCTACCCATAAAACCTTCCCTCTCTCTTAAATGTGATTTTTCTTAAAACAGTACTACAGATACTACATCACTTTAAGTTCTCAATTTTGAAAATAGAATAGTCAGATAAAATAATTTGTTTTCATAAAACATTATTAATCTGCTTTTTTCAGCCCAATCACAAGGGAAGGATTGTAATTGTATACTGCATTTCTTTAAATAAACTCACAATAATCAGTTTATTCTTATGGCCGTTAAAAATTACTCATTTTCTGCCTCAAAAAGCCAAACTTCTGATTGTGCAGGGAAAATAAGAGGCACAGAAAGAAAGCCCGTGCCGAGGATTCTGTGTTAGATGGCACTTGAGAGTTCGCAGAAGGGAGAGGTGGACCTTGCGTGGGGCAGCGAGGCAGGGCCTCTGCAGAGGATGGCATGTCCTCTGGGCGCTGAACGAGGGGAAGGAATTTAATAAGCAGAGCTTGGCGTGGAAGGCCGACAGGGAACAGTGTGGGTGAAGCAGGAAAGGTATGTGAGGGAGACGACGCATAGGCGGTTTTGCTGAAATGGAAGACACGAGCATTGCCATGTGGGCTGGAAACGAAGCCGGGTCCACCAGTGGAAAGGCTGCCGTGGCGGGGACGGCGGGTGCCGTGTGACAGGCGGTGGTGAGCAGTGTGTGGGTTTGTGAGCGAGAGGGGACGCGATGGAAGTTCGTTTCAGAAAAATTGACCTAAGGAGAGTTTTCAGGATACAGTGGATAGGAAGAGCCTAGATATTGTGAGACCGGTGAGGAAGCAATTTTAGAAACCGTGTCTAAGCCGGAGCAGACCGGGTGTGGGGAGAGCGAGGAGTCACAGGCAAGGAAAGAACCTGCTGCACCTGGTGAGTGACAAAGGACAGAAGGAAAGGCAGCCTCGGCCAGAGAAACCAGAAACGGGCCACCCTGCGCGGTGGCTTGCCTGGTGGGTTACAGCCGGGAAGCTTTGAGGGGGTGTGGCTGGCGGACTTGTGGGGTGACCTGTGGAGAGGAGGGGTAGACGGCAGATTGCACAGAGCCGTGGTGCGCACGTGGAGCCCCAATATCAGCTTATTGATGAAGTTTAAGAAATGGGGTTGGAAGGGAGGAGGAAAGTTGGACAGAGGCTGGAGGAACCAGTTAGACACTTTTTACGCCTTCCCTGAATGTAAAGACTTACACGGATTCGAAGGCAGAGTTGGGGCTCGTGGGGAAAGAGAACGTAAAGAAGGCCCCTCCCAACGTGGGATGGAAGGATAACTCTGTGCTCAGAGACACAGCAGGAGAGGTGTAGGGGCGACTCCATGATCAGCTCTGTTGGCTGCAGGTGGAAAGGTGTCGTTTATGAAGGTTGGCGTGGCAGCAGAGCCAGGGCCAGCCGCTGGAAGCTTGGGAGCATGGAGATGTGGGAAGACTTAGGAGTTTCAAAAAATTTTTTATAAAAGAAAAGATGACTCAGAGCTGTGAGGCTGCCGTGGCTTGTCGCAGCAGTGCAGATGGAGAAAGGCAGGCTTGGAGCTTGGCCTGCGGGCCGGCAAGCGCGCAGCAGCGAGGTTCAGCTGCACGCTCCGGGCCACTCGCCACTGGGTTCCAGGGCGCCTTCCTGTTCGGGGGATGCCCTCTCAAGGTCCCCTCTGTGAGGGTCTCCCGGCTGGACTGAGGCAGGGACCTGCTGTGGACAGTGCACCACGTTGCCAGACAGCGTCCCCTGTGCCTGCTCCCCACAAGTCATCACTGTGGGACTGCAGCCACCAGGAGCCACTTGAAACAGGCAGAACAAGCACACGCAGCCTATTGGCTCTGTCGGTCTATTTGTCATTACTTGTCAGTTCTTGGTGGCGGTAACTGTGCCTTACGTAGACAGCGTTGAACAGCACTAACCGGAGTGTGGTGGAACTCACTGGCTCTTCTTTGGCAGTCCAAACCAGGTTGCAGAGAAGGTGGCCTCCAGGATCGCCGAGGGCTTCAGCGACGCTGCTCTCATCATGGTAAGTCGCCTCGGTGGCTAGTGAGCGTTCGTCCTCTTGCTGCTGTGGCACTTTGCCGTACAGTTTTGCTTTCTGTGGGTACTTTGACTAATGTATCTTCATTGGACCATTGCCACCTCTTGCAGTATTCTCCCAACTACACACTTAAAGTTGTTTGGTTTGGCTGTGGGTTGTGTACAGCTGCAGTCACGGCACAGGGATATCCAAAGAGGGACGGTCTTTCAAGGTCGGTGGTCCTCAGGGTGAGGTCTCCACGCCCACAGCAGCAGCACCACCACCTGGGAACTTGTGAGAAATGCCAGTTCTGGGCAGGCCCACGTTACAGGCTCACACCTGTAATCCCAGCACTTTCAGAGGCCAAGACAGAAGAATTGCTTGAGGCCTGGAGTTTGAGACTAGCCTGGGCAACATGATGAGACCCCATCTGTACAAAAAAATTTTTGAAAATTCGCCAGGCATGGTGTCGTGCACCTGTGGTCCCAGCTACTCGAGAAGCTGAGGTGGGAGGATCTCTTGGGCCCAGGAGATCAAGGTTGCAGTGAGCTGTGATTGTGCCACTACACTCCAGCCTGGGTGACAGGGTGAGACCCTGTCTCAAATAAATTAATTAATTGCCAATTCCCAGACCCCACTGAATCAGAAACACTGGGGGTGGGGCCCAACAGTCTGTTTAACGTGCCTTCCAGATGATTCTGATGCACACACAGTGTGAGGACCATTGTATTGGAGCCAGCACAGCCTCCATGGGCGCAGGGAAGGAATGAGTTGGATGTGCAGGCAAATGACATTGAGAGCCTTGTTAAACAATCTTGATTCAGACAGAATCCTAAGAGTGCGGGAAGAAGTTTGGAAGCTTCACTTTTGTGAAAAAACAATGAAGGACTTAATAATTATTTTCCTGCAAAATACACAGTTTATCTCAGGCCAAGCTCTCTTGGTGATTCCGCATGTCAGATTCATAGGAAGAGTTTCTGCCCTGGGCCAGCGTTCACACTGCTGCCGTGAGAGCTCCAGGGAGGTCCCTGCTGTTGGCTCCCGTGTGAGTGGTCTGTTCCCTCTTGTGTCTTCTGCCCTGTTCTCAGGTAGACAACACCAAGTTTACGATGGACTGCGTAGCGCCCACGATCCACGTGTACGAGCACCACGAGAACAGATGGCGGTGCAGAGACCCACACCAGTGAGTGCCGCTGCGGGCGTGGTGCCCACAGGCTCCGTGCAGAAGCCGGTCTCGCCCTGCCTGTGCTTTAAGTTAGCGTGTTCCCCCGAGCATCATACCGTGCGTGCTCCCTGACTCCCGGAGGGCTGGGGCCTGGAGGGCTGCTGTAGGGGAACCTGATGGTACTCGGGGGTCTTCCCACCCCAGACCCCAGGGCACAAACACTCTTCCCAAGTGTTTGGTTTGATTTATTTGTGATCAGTCAGGAAGCTTCAGTCATCTGCCTCCTGCTTTTTCAGAATTCCATTTTAAGGGTGTCCCTTCCATTTCTTGATTACCCATGTTTGATATTCTCCATGTACATCTTTATGTGTTTAAAATGTCCGTGTTTCCTGGTATTCCATCTCTCCTTTCTTTTTACCACCGTGCATGTGCCCGGTCTTCTCTGTAGTCAGAGGCTGACTTCTCTGTGTCTGACCCGCAGTGACTGCTGTGAAGACTGGCCAGAGGCGCAGAGGATCCTGGCGTCGCTCCTGGATAGCCGGTCCTACGAAACGCTCGTGGATTTCGATAACCACCTGGATGACATTCGGAATGACTGGACAAATCCAGAGATCAATAAAGCTGTTCTGCACCTGTGCTAGGCAGGCTTGGCAGTGACCGGTCTGGGCATTTCCACTGTGCTAAAGAAGAAAACCTATTTTTAAATGTAAATAGAATATCTCGTAGCCTGTGTGGGAAGCTGACGGTCTTAAGAAGTGGCCTGTGCCTTGAAAGAGGGCAGAGTGTTCAGTCAGCCGTCTTCCAACACAGAGCCCCTAGAAGAGGCACAGACCGTCCAATCCGACCACCCTGTGGATCTCCCAGTTGTATGTTGCTATCTTCCAAATCAAAGCTATTTCTGCTTGTCCAAGATTGTTCCTATTAAACAGTTTTAACTAACCTTTTATAATCTGGAGAGAATACTTTTTAAGGCTTATGAACTCTATTTCACAACAACAACAAAAAGAGACCACATCTTATACTCCAATGAGTGTGTTTGTGAGTTTTTGTCCTGGTTGAGTTGATGTCGTGCGTCGAGCCGACATCCCGGGATCGGGGCAGACACGCGGAGTGCTGGTGAGAAGCCGCGTGTGGGTGTCCAGCAGCTGAGCAGCGGGGCCGTGAGCAGCACTGCCCCACTCGGCGTCGGCTCTCACAGCCACGGTGACGCTACATAGTGGGAGTGATGCCACTGTTGCCTGAGAAACCTTTATCGTTAAGGGTAAAAGCAGACATCGCTGGTAATGAGAACATGGATGAGAGCACAGTTCATTGCTTCTCAGTCAACCAGAAAGCTTGCAACCTTGCAAAATCAAGAAAGGAAAAACGGAACCGTGCTATGATTTTCTTGTAACTGACCTGCATGGTCATTGAAATGGTTCTATGTCTTCAAAATAATCGTTTCTTTTGTATTCAGAAAAACAAAACCAATTTAGACTCCCCGAGTTGTACAGAGCAGTGTCTAATTTTTATACTTAGAACATTTGGTCAAATTTTCTAACCCAATTTTAAGAAATTGATGGGGAAATTTATGGTACCATTGCATTCCTTCCTTTTTATATGACTTATTTTGTACAGAGTTCAGAGAACGGTACCTTTCCTACTGTTGTCTTTGACTACACGAAGGAAATTTGTAACTGTTGATGTGACCCACTGAAGGGGTTTGTGATGCAGCGTTCACTATTTTCTCTTAACAAGTAGTGAAGAAATTCAGATATTGCTAAAAATAAATGTCTATTATTTGATCCATCAAATTTTCTCTTCCCCTTTCTTCAAATACCTCCTACCCGTAACTTTTTAAACCGATGTTCTTTCGTGTGGGGAACACGAAGGAAGGAGTGAGGCACCGGTGTACTGGGGCTTCACCCTCCTGCCCTCAGCTGCCAGCGCCCTCACAGCTCCGTGGGCTCGTGTTTGTTTCAGGAAGGGAGAGGAGTCACCTCCAGCATGTGCCGTACCAGAAGCTGTCTTCCTGGGACTACAACAGGAACACGGGGCACCTCCAGTGGAAAGTCCAGGGAAACTGGCAGAGCTATATGGAATCGAGCTGTGGCCAGGGCTAGTTTGGGGGCACTTTAAAGATGCCGTCTTCCAACAGCCCTTCAAGGTGGGTTTCTCTTAGCGTCACCTCCCTGTAGAATTCTCTCCCTCGGTTCTCCCTCCAGCGTCCCGGAGACACACACTGTCCTCTGTTGGATTCAGGCCAAAGCTGAAGCCGTGTACTTGTTCCCTTTCTACGGCTCAGTGAGGCTTAGATTTTCAAAGGGGAGCATACAAAACGCTCTGAAGGAACGGATCTATTTGTGAGAAAGCCAAAACAGATTTCCAAAGCACAGGTACCTGCGCCTACATTCCTTATGAAAATAGCAAAAGCCTCTGCCGAGCCCGCCCTCCTGGTCTCCATAGCTGCGCTGCGTGGCCTCCGGGCCTCAGTCTCCCTGGTCCTGAGAACAGGCTGCATTTTCCCCACGCAGGATAAGAGAGCAAGCCTGTTACATGGCCACCTCAACTTACTCAGCCCTGTTTTTTTTTAAAGACTCGAAGGAGCAATACAAAGTATATTTATACATTGAAAAATCTGCCCACCAAAATGTTCTTAACCAGTTTCCTAAATGTGAGGGAGGGTACCTGTACTCATGTGTTCAGGGACGTCTGCCTTTAGAGCTAGCCATGTGCTTAAAATCATTCCGGTGGACATTTTTATCTCTCATAGCCTCCAACCATTGAAAGGTGAGTGGGACAAAAATTATATAAAAATGTCATTTTGTATTTCTAATCATAGTTGCCTTTAAGAACAAAATACTAGGCCCGGCACGGTGGCTCACGCATGTAATCCTAGCACTCTGGGAGGCCGAGGCGGGAGGATCGCTTGAGCTCAGAAGTTCGAGACCAGCCTGAGCAAGAGCAAGACCCCGTCTCTACTGAAAAATAGAAAGAAATGATCTAGACAAGTAAAAAAATATATACATATAAAAAATTAGCCAGGCATGGCCGCGCATGCCTGTAGTCCCAGCTACTTGGGAGGCTTAGGCAGAAGGATCGCTTGAGCCCAGGAGTTTGAGGTTGCTGTGAGCTAGGCTGACGCCACAGCACTCTAGCCTGGGCAACAGAGCAAGACTCTGTCTCCAAAAAAAAAAAGGGCC